ATCTCAACGTATCACGAGGTACCTTAATGACACGGAGATTAGAGTCTACTACAACACTGGCTGAAAATTGGGCGGCATTTTATTTTAAAAGTACTTGCCCATTTACAGGGGAAAAGTGTCCAGTCTTGCATGCAAAGTTCGGCGCAGGGATTTCGACGAAGTATACATTAAAAAGATCAACCGGATATTGAACATCCGCATAAAGAGTACCTTCCTGCGTTCCGCCTTTGGACAGGCTGAGAGTTCCGATATTGCCCAACATGCGATTAATGAAGGACATTCCTTTAGTCAGACAAATGTGTCTGCCATACCGATAAAGGAGTCCTTGGATATACTGCCAATGAAAAACCGGATGTGCAACGAATACACATCTAGTGAAAGCTGGGGAACAATCACAAAACTGATACGCAAAATCAGGTCAAAATGACAGATCCGTTTTATTTTGATGTCGGTGCACTTTGTTCTGACAAGGTAACAATGATTTGACTGTGATAAGCGAATTAAAAAATTGATATTGAATTGATATTGATCGCGTGTTGAACATAAATGCCTTCAAGCAGTCATATATGTTCAATCCAGCCCTGATGATGCAACGACCTGTGCAGTGAAACGCGTTGGCATTAAGCTGTTCACCCTCTTGAATTTGATTTCCCGAACCATATATCATTCAAACAACCATGTATCTGACTAGGGCCCAGAATCAGAATTCTGAAGAAGTATTTATATAATACTTTGTTCGTTAGTTTATAGCCGTTTGCTCTTGCTTGATCCTATGACTTGCATAACAAGTTTTGCTTTAGGTGCAGATTAAGGTTTCGTTTCGCTCACAGAAGATGAACGCTTGCATCTCGACTTTGATCGAAAAGGTTTGCCGCGAAATTCGTCGCTTCGCATTTGACAAGGCCAAGGATCTGGTGGTAATGTCTTCTCGCGCATTCGGCAGGCAACCATTCCTAACTAATTTTGACACAGGATGAATTTCGCTCGACCTTCCCTGTCTCTGCTATCCTCACTCCGGAAGATTCAGTACGGGTATCTTTACTGCGGTGCCTGTCAAATTTGACCATTGCCGAGAAAGGTTACATGTCGCTCGGTTTCATGGTCCCGAAAGGTTTCTTGCGTAAAGAGGTGAGTAACAGTCAGTGAAGCGAATTTCGCCGACCTGTCGCTGAATCATGCATCGCTTTTCTGTCAGGTCTCCGTGTACAGCTGATGAGTTGTCACAAGGCAAGATGCTTATGATGAGGCGTGAGATTTTGTTAAAGACTGAAATGAAGCGTGTTAATCAACTGTTATGTTGATTAA